TTAAAGCCTGGCCTCATTTCTCCCCTCTCCGGCAGGCCTGTCATTGATTTCAAGGGGCACACTAGTAAATTAAGTGTATCTAAACCCTGGAACAAAAAAATGTAATATGGTCGGGATAAAAATAGGTCTATACTTGGCCAAAAAGGGCAGACTTGGTCAACCTCCTTGATCAACCTCCAGACTTGATCAGCCTTCATTGTTTTCATGTTTCTATTGCAGTTTTCTAGTCATTGGATTTGATGGTTACATTTGCTTTCTTTTTTCTGGCTTAAAACTGAACTTTGATTTAAGGAAAAATGATCTGTTGAGACAGAACTACCCCTGCATTGACTCGGTGGAACACCAGTGCAAGCACCAGATGCCATTGCTCTAGTGGACGCTGACATAAGTGTGCTCATCCAGATAGCTCTATGAATGTGAATGGGTTCAGCGCTGCACACTGATCAGCTCCAAGGTATAGGAAGTGAAGAGCAGCCTCAGCTCCACCTGATAGCCGTGCTACCGACGCGTTTCGGCCTGCCCATCAGTGGCTTAGTCATAGTGGTAGCTCTGTGGGCGTGGTTATTGGGAGGAGCTGGGGCTAAGGCCATTCTTCACTTCCTATACCTTGAAACTGATCAGTGTGCTGTGTTGATCCACTACCCTGCACTGCAAGGGTTATAGATGCTGGTTTAGGGCTAGGGGGCGCAAAAAGCAGTTTAATTTACTTGATCATTCTCCTCCTCTTCCTCCTCCTCCTCCTCCTCCTCCTCCTCCTCCAGGCTCCCTCCAGACTCTAATACCTGTCCCTGCAGCCTCTTCTCTATACTTCGGAAGAGGCAGGCCCTCTGATGTCATCAAGTCCAATGCAGGGCAAGTTGTTGTAAACCCTTCCATGTATCCAGTGAAGTGACTGGTCTCGGGTTATACATATAGATGAAACCAATCCTCCTACATAAGTTGTACCTGTTTATCTGCAGCTCTTTGTTCTTTATATCCCTTCAAAGTGCAGAATTATAAAGCTTATCTGAGAGTTCTGAAAAAAGGGGGGGGGGGAGCTGAAGTTACACTCTCCAGAGAGCTCAGTGAGGAGAGCTCTGAGAGCTGATTGGAGGGAAGGGACGCACTCCCCTCCACACAACACACAGAACAGAGCTGAGGCTGTCCATCTGCTGGAGGTCCCTCCCCTGTCACCTTTTTTTCTTTTGGTGTCAAGGAAAACATGTCAGAAGTGCTGATAGCAGAGGAATGATGCAGCAGAGAAAAATGACACTTAGTGCTCTTAATTGAGGCAAGTACACACTATAGAGGGATATGCCTTGTTCATTTTCATGATTGAAATTTACAACCACTTTAAGCCCTGCAATGGACATGAGAATACAAAGGGACAGTCTGCCAGAGTGTAGGGGAGAAGAGGAGAGTGCCGGATCGAGGGGGAGCAGAGTAAAATTGCTTCTTGCAGCCCCCTAGACATAAGCCAGCATTTTAACCCTTGCAGTGCAGGAACAGCCCCACCACCACTTTAACCCCTTCCTTCCACCGCTTCCCTGCTCTATAGGATGTTTTTGATGCTGGGAAGGCTTTCTGATCATGTGACTGTCGTGATTGACTGTGGCACAGGTTACTTGATTCGAAAGCTGCTGATAGCAAGTAGACATCGGGAGCTTTCCGTTCTCCGCCGGTAGCTGCGACGGGAGTGCACAGGGCACGTGCTTTCAGCACAGCATGGTTTTTGTTTTGGAATTCATATATGCGGCCTGTCGGCATTAAAGACCACCCACCGAAAGGACCACGTATATGCACACGGCCGGAGGGAGGAGGTTAACGTCCATCTGATGATCCTGGCAGCAACACATCATGTTCACACTCTCTGACCTTCATTTCCTCTATTAGGTGCAGTCTGACAGTCCTCTCAAGTATTACATACATTCACCGGCCACTTTATTAGGTACACCTGTTCGATTGCTTGGTAACACAAATTGCTAATCAGCCAATCACATGGCAGCTAAATCAATGCATTTAGTCATCTAGATGTGGTGAAAATGAGCATCAGAATGGGGAAGAAAGGGGATTTAAGTGACTGTTGGTGCCAGACATGCAGCATGGTAATCGGTGTCACCCTAGAACAGTGGCTGTCAACTTATGAGTCAAAGGAGGCCTCATTAGTGGCCCCTGACATCACCAAAGGGCCTCACATAATGTTAATATACACTCACCAGCCACTTTGATAGGTACACCTGTTCAATTGCTTGGTAACACAAATTGCTAATCAGCCAATCACATGGCAGCAACTCAATGCATTTAGGCATCTAGACTTGGTGAAAACGACTTGCTGAAGTTCAAACCAAGCATCAGAATGGGGAAGAAAGGGAATTTAAGTGACTTTGAATGTGGCATGGTTGTTGGTGCCAGACGGGCTGGTTTGAGTATTTCAAAAACTGTTGATCTACCCATCCAAAGTCGCATCAAAATGGTATCTAAGCAAATAGTTTCCTAATGGAAAAAAGCCAAAAGCAGCAAAAAATTGTGTTCTAAAATGCAAAACACTGAAAAACGCATCAATTGTAATACGCAGAGGTGTGAACCTAGCCTTATTTTCTCTTGATGATCCTGCCAGTAATAGATTTCCAGTTCTTGGGTGATGACATTTACCATGCTGTACCTATGGAAATAAAACAGAATTTTTTTTTTTTATAAATCTGTAGTCATTAAAAAAAAGTGATTTAATACATGTGACTTCTATAAAAAAGAAATGTCTTCTTGTAAGTCATGTGAGTGTATCACTTCCAGGTATTTATTGCCTTTCACAGAGATCAAAGTATTCCCCCTGACAATGCTTTTATCTCAAGACGGATGGCACTTGCATATTGCGACTTCTTATAATGTACAGTCTGATCACTGGGGGAGGGGAGACTGAGGAAAGGTTTCCTCCTGCCTGCAGCAGAGTGATTACATTATCTCAGCCTAGACAAAGTCACTGGACTGTAGATTAAGGACAGCTAGTACATGATAAAAAAAAATTGAGCTTTTCTGAAAAAAGTATAGACCTTTTATAGTTCAACCTTTAAATGGTGTCTAAATTAGATCGCTCCAAAAACACCATTCAGATTAAATCATTGCGCCTATGTGCATACATGTTGATATTTAAACTCTGATGGGTGCTGCCAGGGGCGGACTGGCAACTCATGGGGCCCTCGGGCAATAGGGCATCATGGGGCCCCTGTGTCCTTGCCCAAACTCAAAAAAGCCTATGAAAAAGGTACCAGGGGCATCTCATGGGGCCCCCTACTGACCTCGGGCAGTGGCTGAGTTTCCAAATGGTCAGTCCGCCCCTGGGTGCTGCTATTATATATCCACTAAAATTTATATCCCACACTTTGTGATAAATAGAACCACAAATAATAGCGCAACCCATATACCAAAATAATTAAATACATTTTAAATAAATTAATAAAATAAATTAATTAATGACGGGAGTCTCCCTTGGAAGAAGTTTTATGACGAAACGCGTTAGGGTGGCTATCCGGTGGCGTCACCACGCGCGCCAACCCTCGGCTCCAGACCATGTGATCGCAACAACGCCATCTTGGTTGCAGGCAGGCTGGTGAGACGCTGGATAGAGAGCTCTGTGCTCTTGTGTTACAAAACGCTGGTTTATATATTTCTCATTGTAAGTGCGATTTTAAGGGGGGAATTGATTGGAATAAATTTTTAAACGTTATTGGCACTATGGCGAGTGTTTTTTTCTATCTACATGTTTACTGTAGAGTATTACGGATATCCATAAACTGAGATTAAGTGGTGGTGGTGTGCTGGTTATACACAGATATGTTGGTTTTTCACCAGTTTCTGGTGAGTGTGTATTTTGATGGGGTGTTAAAGCACTGGATATCACATTGGTGAAGGAAGATTCCATGACTTAATTTATTGAGGATCATATTTGAATATATATGGACTTTTGTGAATGGAACTTCATGAAGATTCAATTTAATGTTTTATATTTGTGCACTTGCACGGTGGTGGATTAATTTTATATATATATATATATATATATATATATATATATATATATAAATTATAATAATAACCTTTATTAATTTATTTAAATAATGTATTTAATTATTTTGGTTTAAGGGTTCTATTTATCACAAAGTGTGGATATAAATTTTCTGAAAAAAGGATACTATTTGTCAGGGTTCTGGGTATGACCGGAGGTGTGTGGACTGACACAGGGGAACGCAGGCTTCAGATATGGTATAAACTATATGATTTATTAAGACTAACAATACAAAACGCAGTGCAAAACTAAACATAAACACAGTGCAAACAAACCAAACCACCCACAGATAACAATACATACAATGCAAGAGTTGTCAGGCAGGCCGGTCAGTAACTAACGGGCAAACGGAGTACCAGGAACAGGCGGGAGAGTGGTCGGGGTCACAAGCTGGGTACAGTAACTCACGGGCAGCGCGGTGCAGAGGGTCAGGCAGAGAATGGTCAGGGTCACAAGCCAGGGATCAAACAGGAGAAGTCAGCAGAGGTCAGGGTCGGCAACAAGTCAGGCAGAAACAGGAACACAGGATACAAGATACAGGGGCCCATGGAAAAAACACACACCAAGGCCCTGACTGTGAGTCTGGCCATTCCTTAAATACAACCCCTGCAATCAGCTTCAGGTGTTTGGCTGACTGCAGGGGTGAGTCTCTGATTGCTGAGAGCACCCGCTGGCCAGCCCTGGTACTGCAGCCCACAAGGCAGGTGAGTCCCACCATTATTGGCAAGTCCATTCCTGACACTATTGCTGTGTATTGTGACATGTCATTGTCATTCATGCAGACTTGTAAAGGTCCACATTATTGGTAATATCGCTCCATCCTTTTCCCCGGTGCTGTGTAAAGTCCAAACAAGATAACTGACATACATCAAATGTTTCCAGTGTTAGTTACATTAATTTCTATAGGAAAAGCTCACAGAGCAGTAATGAGATTTAGTAACCGGATCTGTCCTCTGTGTTCCAGGGTGCTGCGATTCATGCTCCTGCATATTAAATATCTCTACGGGATAAAGATCGAGGTCCGAGGCTGGGATAACTTCAACATTAAGGAGCCGTATGTGGTTGTGTCAAATCATCAGAGTTCTCTGGATTTGCTGGGTAAGAGACACTACATCCATGACTTCAGTTCAAAAAGTCAAGCTCAAGCCCAACCCCAACCGTCTCCTGCTCCTCCCAATTGGTGAAATATGTGGACCAATAGCTTGGAAGCTGGTAGAGCAGGGCTCAGCTGATGAGCTGAACTAGTTGCACAGTTGAGTCTTCTGGATTTTGGGGGCTTCAAAGGAGGTGGTTCATCCATTCTTTTCAATAGCTCCAGTTCAAATCTGTGTGACTTAGAAAAGGTGGCTGCACTACTATGGTGCGACTCTTGATGCAACTTTGGTCCAGAGACTGTAAAGTGAGATCAAAGTCACACTCCAAAGTCGCACTGGAAATCTTGCCACTTTGGAGACGCGCTAATGTGAATGGAGCATAAAGCTGAACTCTGAGAAAGGCAGATATTGTCTAAATACAAGAGTCATGTGTAATCTTCCTTGAATCTTGGTTTGCTTTGCTTTGTGTATTTCTTCCAGATCTGTGCAGTACTACAGTGTGAGAATTTACCTTCCTGTAACAAAGATCGGTCATTGCTGCTCTCTCTCCTTGTGCAGGGTGACTGGTCTTGTCTCTGCCCCCTCCTGTAGTTTGCTGCAGGCAGCCTATAGTGGGTGGAGCCTGCTGAGCCCCTCCCACAGCTCTGCTCTCTGCACAGGCTATGTACAGCCCACTGATGATATCCCCTTATTTTTACAAGGTAATATCTGAGTTTGCAAAGGCATTTGGTGCACAAAAACTGGATTTATATCCTTTGTAGTTATTGAGGAATATGCAGTATGTAAATGTTTCTGTGCCCGGTGTTTTGCTTTATTTTAATTACTAGTTTCGCTATGAGAACATATGGTGGTTTGAAGGGGAGGGTGTAGTACAGCAATGAGCAATCACATTTAAATAGATATAACAGCCCATATTGTGTGCACAACAACATCCATATAACAGCTACACAATATTGCCAAACGTATTGGGCCCACCCTCCAAATCATTGGATTCAGGCGTTCTGATCACCTCCATGTACACAGGTGTATAAAATCATCACCTAGGCATGCAGACTGCTTCTACAAACATTTGTGAAAGAATGGGTCGCTCTCAGGAGCTCAGTGACTCCAAGCGTGGTCCCGTGATAGGTTGCCACCTGTGCAATAAGTCCATCCGTGACATTTCCTGGCCACTAAATATTCCACGGTCAACTGTCAGTGGTATTATAACAAAGTGAAAGCAACTGGGAACAACAACTCAGCCACCAAGTGGTAGGCCACGTAAAATGACAGAGCGGGGTCAGTGCATGCTGAAGCGCACAGTGCACAGAAGTCGCCAACTGTCTGCAGAGCCAATAGCTAAAGACCTCCAAACTTCATGTGGCCTTCAGATTAGCACAACAACAGTGTGTAGAGAGCTTCATGGAATGGGTTTCCATGGCCGAGCAGCTGCATCCAAGCCTTACATCACCAAGTGCAATGCAAAGTGTCGGATGCAGTGGTGTAAAGCACGCTGCCACTGGACTCTAGAGCATTGGAGACATGTTCTCTGGAGTGAGCAATCACGCTTCTCTGTCTGGCAATCCGATGGACGTATCTGGGTTTGGTGGGTGCCAGGAGAACGGTACTTGCCTGACTGCATTGTGCCAAGTGTAAAGTTTGGTGGAGGGGAGGTTATAGTGTGGGGTGGTTTTTCAGGGGTTGGGCTTGGCCCCCTAGTTCCAGTGAAGGGAACTCTTAAGGCATCAGCATACCAAGACATTTTGGACAATTTCATGTTTCCAACTTTGTGGGAACAGTTTGGGGATGGCCCCTTCCTGTTCCAACATGACTGCACACCAGTGCACAAAGCAAGGTCCATAAAGACATGGAGGAGCGAGTTTGGGGTGGAGGAACTTGACTGGCCTGCGCTGCAGTCTTCCCGCGGTGGCTTCTGTGACAGCCGGGTGCCCACTGCGCATGCGCGAGAAGCACCGCGTTTTGTGAATGGTCCGGTGTCTTCTGGGACACATGACAGGGCCCAGAAGGCTCCGGGGCATTCACAAAGGGCAGCGCTTCTCGCGCATGCGCAGTGGGCACCCGGCTGTCACAGAAGCTGCCGCGGGAAGAAGAAGGAAGGACAACTCCGCGGAAGTAGGAGCGGGTGCCTGTCAAATTCAGGTACCCACTCCCCCTCCCTCCCCAAAGGTCCGAAGTCTCCGGCAATATCCTTTACTGTCTGTAGTCTCTGGTCATCCCCTGCACTGTCTGCAGTCTCTGGTCTTCTGCATTATGTCCACAGTCTCTGGTCATCCCCTGTACTATGTCTGCAGTCTCCGGTCATCCCCTGTACTATGTCCGCAGTCTCCGTGGTCATCGCCCTGTCACCGTCGTCCGCACGTCATCCCCTGTACTATGTCCGCAGTCTCCGGTCATCCCCTGTACTATGTCCGCAGTCTCTGGTCATCTCCTGTACTGTGTCCGCAGTCTCTGGTCATCCCCTGTACCGTGTCCGCAGTCTCTGGTCATCCCTGTACCGTGTCCGCAGTCTCTGGTCATCCCCTGTACCGTGTCCGCAGTCTCTGGTCATCTCCTGTACCGTGTCCGCAGTCTCTGGTCATCCCCTGTACTATGTCTGCAGTCTCTGGTCATCTCCTGTACTATGTCCGCAGTCTCTGGTCATCTCCTGTACTATGTCTGCAGTCTCTGGTCATCCCCTGTACCGTGTCCGCAGTCTCTGGTCATCCCCCTGTACCGTGTCCGCAGTCTCTGGTCATCCCCTGTACCGTGTCCGCAGTCTCTGGTCATCCCCTGTACCGTGTCCGCAGTCTCTGGTCATCTCCTGTACTATGTCCGCAGTCTCTGGTCATCTCCTGTACTGTGTCCGCAGTCTCTGGTCATCTCCTGTACCGTGTCCGCAGTCTCTGGTCATCTCCTGTACCGTGTCCGCAGTCTCTGGTCATCTCCTGTACCGTGTCCGCAGTCTCTGGTCATCTCCTGTACTATGTCCGCAGTGTCTGGTCACTTCCTGTACTATGTCTGCAGTCCATTGGTTCAGAATATTTTTTTTCTTGTTTTTCTCCTCTAAAACCTAGGCGCGTCTTATGGTCAGGTGCGTCTTATGGAGCGAAAAATACGGTACCTTTCTGGAGGATACAGGTCGTGTCAGTGAATGTGTGTATTATTAACCCCTCAAGGTCCACTAGTAATAATTCTACATGATAATCTAGAATGTAATGTAATCTAATGACAAACTGGCCTTCTCCATCCCATGTACATGTATAACAAAGATCTCCAGGGTTTAGTGCCTGCTCACACCAGATAGCAATGGAAAACAAAATGCCTGCATGTTTACCTGCATTTGCATGTGTTTTGAAATGGATTGCATTGCAGTTTTGTATGCATTGCAGTGCATTTTTTTAAATACCCTTTAGGGCCCTTTCACATTGATCAGTTATTTAAAAAAAAAAAAAAAAAAAAAAAAAAAGGAAGACAGAAAAATGCATCCCTTTAAATCCTATGGAAATCTTCACACTGGTCGTTTGCGTTTCAGTTGCGTTTTTAAAAGTCCTGCTTTCTGCATTTTCGGTGCGTGTTTAAAACTGCACCAAAAACACACTTCCCCATTGAAATGCTTTGAAAACTCATCAAAAATGCACCCATGATTGCGTTTTTGATGTGTTTTTTGTCCATGGTTCATAGGTGCATGCTGATGTCAGTCAACCAGAAAATGCACTAAGAACTTGGCAGAAATGCCATATGCATTTTTTCTGTTTTTTGCAATGGGGCCTTATTTAACCACTTGCCCGCCGTCCCTTAGCAGATGTAGTGGTACAGGGCAGCTTCGCTTGGCAAAATGACGTAAATATACATGATTTTGCATTTCCGGATAGGGGGCGCGTGCACTGCTTCACCTGCACTGCTATTGGCTCCTGAGGATGTCAATCACCGGGTCCCGGCTGGCGATTTTCAGCCGGGACTCGGTGGCCATCAACAAAGCTGAGAGGGGAGATATCTGTTTGTAAACAACACAGATCTCTTCTGTCAGTATGGACATGCTGCTTTCTATCTCTCTGCATATTGGGATTTTTTTTTAGCAAAGACATGTAGCAGAAAACATTTTGCCCTAAATTTATGACGAAATTTTTTTTTTTTATTATTGTTTTATAGCAAAAAGTCAAGAATATTTTTTATTTTTTTCAAACTTGTCAGTCTCTTTTTTTTGTTTATAGCACAAAAAATAAAAATGCAGAGGTGATCAAATACCACCAAAAGAAAGCTCTATTTGTGGGGGGAAAAAATTACCGTACATAAATTTAATTCATGCACAGCATTGCATGACCGCACAATTGTCAGGTAAAGTAATGTAACGTTGTATCTCAAAAAAATGGCCTGGTCAGGAAGGGGGGTAAATCTTCTGGAGGGCAAGTGGTTAAAGGGAATCTGTAGTGACAAGTCTTTCCTCTCCTTTCCCAAAGGTTTGCTCTCCACCTGTGGGTGGTGTACTCAATAGGTGAATGCATCCGCATCCATCCATATCTTTACGTCCACTGCACTTTTTTTTTTTTTTTTACCTGGACACTCGCAGGTCCTGTGCACATTTCACAAGATACAAGAAGCATATACTAGGGGTCCTCAGACTTCAGATACCTCTTTTTTTGAGTCATTGCGCCTCTACATGCGTTTGAGCACATTGTGTTCTGAAAAAATGCAGCCTGCTCTGCTTTTTTTTTTTTTTTTCCTGCACTTGTCTGTACTACAGAGCCACAAAAGGAATAAACTTTATTCTTTAAAAACAAACATATTTAAAGTGAATGTCTGAGCAAAACCTCACCTCAGTACATGCACATTTCCTGTGTTTTATACCTATATGCACCATCCACGTATAGGAAAATACCTGCTGACCTACCAGAAATACCTTGTTTCTAACATCCTGTTTAAGTAGGCAATGCTGTTTCTGCTGCACTGAAACAAAAGCGGTGTTTTCATCCCTGTCCCGTTCTCCTTTTCAGGCTTACAGAACACCTCCCCCTCTCCTCATCCCTA